TTGGTGGAAGAAGGCGGAGTACCCCCAGATAACTACTGACCTTCGGCCGAAATACTTACATTTCTAGTCAATTAAGATTTGAGTCGAACGAATCTGCCATGTACGGGATTCGATCTCACAACCTCAGTGTTGACAGGCTAGTGATACAGTAGTTGAACTACATAGCCCACTCGACCACCGAGGCCCCTCTAGAACCTTGAGAATGGTGTTCATAAACTAATATCAACACAAAGAAATTGGGAATATATTTTGTTTCTGCAAGGGTTAACGTAGCATCTGTTATTTCATTCTTAATCATATCAATATGTTGGACAAATATTTGATCATCTTAATTATTTGTGATAATTCATAACTGACTTAATACTAACCGCAAAAACAGAAATATATAAACATTAACCAACTGTTCCTTCCATAAAATTTGGCATAGTTTGGGGTGCTCCATAGAAGTTAGAACGAGGACACAGACATTATTATCCCGGTTACTGAGGTTGCAATAGGTCCATATTTGTCAGAGAATGCCAGGTAGAAACCCAAAACTAAATCTAACATACGAGAGAGAAGACTGTAGATATACTGAAAAAGAAAATGACAAAAAATATTATAAATTTTTATAACTAATTGTTGCATGGGGTGGTTTGCAACCGGTGAATTACATCTTGTCTAATTAAAATCTTCTGTGTAATATAGAAACGTTTAATAGATTACTCTGATAAATGAAGACACATGAAAAGAGAGGCGAACGATACCAAAGGAATATTAAAACTCAAAGGTCGAAAATAAACTGACAACGTCATGGCAAAAAAAGAAAAAGACCTTTAAAGACAAGCAACAGTATACAAAACACAACATAGAAAACTAAAGACGAAGCAACACGATCCCTACCAAAAACAAGGGGTGATCTCGCGTGCTCCGGAAGGGAAAGCAGATCCTGCTCCTTATGTGGCACCCGTCATGAAAATGTGGAATCACATTAATGATAAAATATAATTTATATCGATTTATAATTTTTTTACGCATTATCTTATAGATTTATGAAGCGACAAATTCAATATTGTCAGAATTCGAAAGTCAACAAGGAAGATTGAGCAACTGTGTAATTTTTGGTGTGCTGTCATCTTTTTTCTACTTGCACGATTTTATTTATCCATCTTAGACTAACTAATTTGACTGTTTTTGATATTTGTTTGTCTATTTTGTTACTTGTTTTATTTAAACGCCTTTTGTTTTATACCGTCTGTCTGGGTGAAATTTAATATCTATTTCAGTTCTTCGGCATAAACATTAAATGCAAACAATTAACCCGCCATAAACTTTACCAAACATCCAACAAATAGACCAACCAACTTCAGGACCCGCAATCGACATGGTGATGTGGTTTCTTCTGAAAAAAATACTCAAATAGTACATGCACATACCGGTCAACAAAATAGGTTCGAAGTAAATTTTCATATGAGATGTTTATAGTTACTGTAACTTTGCTAATTATCTAAATAAACTCATCATTGTTACATTAATTACATTAAAACTTCGTCGTATTCGTATTAAAATCGTCCAAATAGTAAAAACAAACGATCAAAATCTGTTGGCGATATTTATCTTTTCCCTAAGAGGGTTTTTAACTTCCGCTAGTCTGATTTTTAACACCCATCACCTTATTGGTTTATCATTATGAAAATGACGAGATATAGTATGAATGCTAATTGAGACGACATTTCACCGGCGACCAAAGGAATTTGATGTAAGCAGCAAAAGATCACCGCATTATCTTCAGCAATGAGCAAACCATATGTGTCATTTATATCATTTACACTTGTTTCTGCATTCAAACTGTAAAGCAGACATTTTGAACACTGAGAATTATACATTCATGTTGTCTGTAATTGTATTAATACTTACCATCATAAAAGAATGTTAGATCTGTAACCAGAGGCGGATTTAGGGAGGGGGCATGGTGCCCCCTCCTTTATGCAGCTACATACATGGTTAATGCATAGACGTTTTACATGTCCCACTCCTAACGTTGCCTAGTTGCCCATTCCTCCCTTTCCTCAGCCTTTTTCAAAATCCTGGATCCGCATCTGGTAACTGTATAAATACTTATATCATAAGAGAATGTATTGTCTGTAATTGTATAAAATACTTACCATAAGATTTCATATACACAACTGTGTTATCCCATCACCTTGTATTCAAATAAAAAAAAAATCCGAATAAAATGTAATATATTTGTTCTACTTGTTGACCATACACACTATACACTACAATTTTTAAACCATTTATATTACACAGAGTGTATCATAGAAATCGGTTTTTTTTAATATGAAAGGAACATTATATACCTGAGTGATGCTGCTAACCCACATATGTATATTACAAATGGCGGTATCAATTTAGGAACGGGAGGTTTATTCTACAGCTGATTCAAATGTTTCTATGTTTATTCTCAAATCTACGTTTTCATTTCCCTAGACTATGGTTAGATTGTTATCTTTTATAAGCTAGAGATAAACATTCTTTTCAAATTAATGAGGTATTAAAAGTTACGATTTTTTCTTAATTTATAAATTTTTGAAGTAATTGCAAATAGTCATCTACTAGTTAATGTTAATATTATGAATGTAGAATGAGGCATTCAATATGTTTATGAACGCTCTACTCTCTCCCATACATCACAGATAAATGTACAAACCAGTTGAAATGTTGCTAGACCAATCACAAATATTAAGGTAGATAAGGGAAATACAACTGTGTAGATTTTTTTTACCAAACTTCAAAAAGACTACTGGATTTGGAAATTGCGACACCCTAATATGGTTGCGATGACAAAATTGATGGTATAGGTATTCTATCTAGTCCCAATTGCAACTCGGTGAATGTGGTGAATTAATATGTTCAACTTTGCTCCTCGACCGACGACGTAGATGCATCTAAGGTCATCACCTACTTCTCCTCATACCTCTATTAATGACCTTCTGCTATTTATACAGAAGCCGTTAGGTATGCATCGCATCCACACGAAGCTATATTCACTACCTCTTTCGAAACTTCATTCTCTGTTCAACTTTTGTTTGGAAACCCCTTTTACAATTCGTACCAACACAAACCTTTGGAATTGCCTATCAGACTGGTCAGACCGGTTGGCATAGCAAAAGATGTAACGGAGAACCGGTCCTTTCTAAGGCTTTCTTTTGCCAACAAAGATCTTGGTGTCATCAATTTTTGCAATATCCTCCTCATAAATCAGTTCAATCAAAAATACCTCATTCTTTAAAGACCAGTCTGTTCCTGTCATCTCTTATACCCATAACACTACTTGCGACTATTTTTCAAATTCAAACACAAGTTTCATGATCTCAAAATTAACGACCTGTGCTAGTTCCCCATTTTTATATAATCCGGCTGGCCACATAATTACTGGTGACCTGATCATAGCCAACAATATTTTCCTGTAAAATGTGTTAACAAAAGGGTCGAAGTACCGTGAGCTTAAATCCATAAATTTGTAACACAATTTAAAAATGCTAATGAATTCAGTCGAGGATTATGCCAGGCTATAATGGCTCATCTTGAAAAAGAGGAGGCAGATACTCTTTCCGAATAGGTTATGGAAGTGAGGTCATTGGTATATGAATACTCATGAATACCATTCTCCGAGGACCCGAATGTTGCTAAACACCTAATCTACCTCCATGACAATTATGTAGTTGTCTCCATAGACAAACCCCGAACATAATCTTTTTGTTAGTAAATCACATAACTTACACTACTTAATAGTGGAATTCACTTAGAAACTCCAATATATCAATTACAAAAGAGAAAATCCTGAACAACTTAGGTCTATTCTAAATTCCTTTGGCATTTCAACCAAAGAAGGAGAAATAGTTCTTCATTCACTGAAAAGTGTACCCAATTCCACAAGTGTCCGTTCAAACAACGTCATTTTGCTGGGTCTGTCGTGTGCTCTACGAAACCTCCTTCGAAATCATTAACAATTATTTTGTCAGCATCAAACCCGGTATTCAAAATTACTGTAAAATTTACTTATTCTAGATGCAGGGTGAATCAGGTGTGGTAACTTAATATTGAAGATCTGCTAAATTGACGGTCCTGCTACAATTTAAGACTTCTGTTAAAATTGTCGCAAATCCGTCCACCGCCAATATGATTGGGGGAGCTGTGTGTAACAGCCATGACGATAATTTTTTTTTAAAGTTCGGATAAAATGAATAAAGTGTATATTGTTAAACATCAAATATTTTTTTTTACATTATTTATACTGTCTTCAATTAAGCTGACGTTTCTTTAAAACGATTCACCAAGATTATAACATGAGCAATTATCACTGACAAGTCAACTATAAAAAATAACGGTGTAGAATAGTCATCTGGAAAAGTAATGCCATCCGTCTTACTAGAAATAATTGTTTCAAGGGCTCCTTGGATTATGTGTAGAACATTTTCGTTTCCCATCTTAGTAAAATGCCCCCTTCTTTGGCTAGAAACTCGTATGCACCTTGTATATCAAGATATCGAATGTAACAGCCTCCATGCTTTGTCATGTGGACACCAATGGAGCTGTTTAACCGACGCCTGCACTTGTCCTTATAATTCACATTTTTTGAAAACCGCCTCTGTCATCTTGGTAATATTTGAGATCAAATTAATGTAGTTTCAGGCAATTTGTTAGATAACCATGACATCAATTTGACAAGTTGGTAATGTTGATAACCTAGTTTAATATTACCTAAATCATTTCCCCAAATGTGAACTTTAACATAGCTCCGAGGATCTTTTAATCATAGCATTATTCTAATGCGACTCCTCATCTTATAGAGAGTTAATCCACCGGTACACTATCCCAACCTATATAACAGCCAGCACATTGAAACTTTTTCATGATCTATAAGTAAATATTTGGTATATAGAATGATTGTATGGTGATAGCTCATCTGACCTTGCCAATTTAATTAAATACACTCAATGAAATAAAACAACAACATAACAATTGAGCAGATTTTTATTGAACTGACAGCACAATAATTGGCACGCCTATAAATAGAAAATTGAATACTTCCATTCATGAACAAATCATGTTAAATATGTGGACTATCACTTTCTTCAAATAACACCTGATCAAAATTCACTTCCAACAATTAAATAATCTTATCGATGAATAATTCGTATCCACATACATTTCGTATACATATATCCTTAAAGATTTAAGAAATATACAGTAACACTGAACCTTATCGTTGAACATTTTAACAAACAAACAGAAAATGGCATGCTAACGTCGGCTGTCATGATATAATACTGATTGTGCAGGTACATATAAAATATTTTAAAAGATAAAAAAACAAAACAACAATAACAATTACGCGACAAAAATATAATACTTTGATTTCAACACACAGTTCATCATCATACTGAGTCAGTAAAAATTGACGAAAAAAATAGCTATCACAGATGGAATCCATAAAACATTATCATAATATTATCAACAATGAAAAACATGAGAAAAAAATTGAATGGACTTAAACCTCAAAAATGAGGAATCATTAAAATTATTTCTTTTTTGTAATTGTAAATTAAAGATTTTTCTCGTAATGTGCTCAAACGAATGAAAAATTGTAAGATCATGGAAGTATTATATTGACATTTTACTTCCTAGATGTGATAAAATTCCTAAAGCAATGTGTAACACTCTATAGAATGCGATTTTGCCAATGCACTAAATTACTGTGCAAATATTAATTAGGCAAAAACAACAACATGCAAAACAATTTTCCGCCAGAGGAAGCATGTCATTTCAGAACGAATTTCAATATTAGTTCATTTTACTGCTCATTTTTCCATAGAAAGCATTGTGTTGTGCTCTTAAATGCTTTTGAATGTCATTAATAGAAGTGTACAAATTTTCATCCATGTAAAACTTGACCATTCATTCCAAAGAAGCTGTGTTTCTTTCCGTTTACTATGTTTTGTCGTAAATCGGGATTGGACTCACTGAAACGAGAATGAAACTTACTTCGCACTGCAGATTTAGAAAATGTATCTTGTATACCTAAAAGTGTTGACTGGGGTCTAGGTACTCCACTTCCCGGTTCCCATGTAAAACGCATGTCATCCTTGTAACCTATATGATTATACACTGGAAATTGACTTTCGTATGCTGACTTCAGAGAAAATGAATGTCTTAAATTTGTTGGAGCTACATTTGAAGAAAGACTTCCGAATTCGTCGCGATATTCTGTGTCCGCAAGTGAAGTGGCAGCTCGTTTTGGTTTCCTCTGGGCTATTACAGTACCCTGCTTGGATTCTACAACTGTTTCTTGAACAGGTGGTTGAATAGAAAAGATCGTAAATTTAGGTTGTTTCTGTTCATTGAAAGCATTATTCTCCTTGTTATACATAGCATGTGTGCTAGTGTATTGAGTCGCATTTGCCTCGCCCATAGATTCAATCAGCTGCCTTTCATCAGAAGTCAACCCATTCGAAGTTGTACCGAAAACACGAAGAGGTCCGTTTCCTGATGCACTAGCTACAGTTACGCTGTCGGAGAAAGAAACACTTTTTCCACTTCCATTTTTCAGACCAGAAATTCCTCGAACATTAGATAATTTTTGATTTGATGTTGAAATGACATTTAGTGGTTCATTTCTGGCAAAGCGTGGCAACTCGTATTCCTGTAGAAACTTTTGTGTATTGTAGTTCTCTCCCATTTCACATTCTTTGTTGATAATTTCTCCTTCCTGGACCCTGTACCTACTAGAAATGTCAGTTGGTTGAAGTTTCTGCTTCTGTGATTGTTTCAGATCTTGTAATGGTCTTAAGACTTCTCTTGAATCCCTACGGTCGCCGGAAAGATTTGCATTTGCTGAAGTCAATGTTCGACTGTATCTTAAGGCATCATTGGCATCTTGATTTAAACGGGTTGGAAGTTCAAGGTCTTCAATGCCTCTGTATGAATGAAATGTGTCCATAATTTCAGCACTGCTTTCTCTTGGGTTCATTGAATGAGCTAGCCGTTCCGGTAAATAATTTGTTCTATATAAACCTGCTCGTTCCTCATTGTATTGCCCTTCGTGATTGTAGAAAGTTTTGGGTTTTTCCGATACGTTTGCTTTTCCCATTTTATATTGAAGAGATGGTAGATCTCGATTTGGTTTCTGAGCCTCTAAAACTTGGAACCGATTTCTTGCCTCCATTTCCTGGAATTCTTCATCCTGTCTCTCTTTTGTTGTTGTGAGATAATTTTCTTCTGTTGCTACTGGTTTACCAACTGTTGGGTAATAGGGTATGTCTTCAGCAGGCTGTTCTTCTTGTGCCTCCCCAACCCTCTCCAGATTTGGTTCTGGGTGTGCAAGATCATTTAATTCTTTCCATCGGATACCTTTTTGTTTCGGCTTCGTTGGTTCTGGAAGGCTTACATATTCTTTTCCGTTCCACAATCTGTCTTCTTCCCTTTCTCGGAGAGTCATCATTCTACAAAGATAAAAAGTACTTAATACAACATGGAATTTATAACAGTGTTTATTACATGAAAGATAAACAAATGACATCAATCTAATGCACACGACACGTGTTTCAGAAATAAACTTCATCTAGTATGTTCGAGCACAAAAGTTTGAAAGTTCAAATACATAAAACATGAAAGACAATCAATCCTAAAAGGAAATCAATCCGCATTCAAAATATCTGCCATAGCAGATGATTAGTAGTATCTTAAGACATCTTTAGACAAATTTGTATTTTAAAGACACGTCCTCAAGATGTCAAAAGATGCAAAATTGTCATGAAAAATCTCATGACACTGATTTTTTTCATTTCTTGTGACACTTGAAATATACATCTTGTTTGAGTTAAGAGTTAAGATGCGTTTCAAGAGTTTATTTTAAAAAATAGCAATCCCAGCATTATAGACTTTTTGTTTTGTATGGAGTGAAACGTCGTTGGCCTTATATCAACATTTATGTTAAGTTTTCTGATTCTGTCTGTTTCCAAATTCGTGCTTAAAGAAAAATTTAAATATTTGTTTGATGTTGCGTCTTAATATGAGTCTCCTGATTCATGCTTTAGTGAGTTTGAATGTTTATCTTTTTTCTATTTTATACTCTTCTGAAGCGGTGTGTTTCTAATTACTGATAATTGATAGCACACTGATGATACTGTAGAAATGAAATACCGGTCCTGAGTTCATATTTCATTTCTTTCAAATATTATATATATAAATGTATCGATACAGTAAATGAGAAAGACAAGTAATACTAAGAATGCTGTAGTTTTTGTGCATTTATTTTTTTGTTAACAAGACGGTTTTAAGGACTGGTTCAAAACCTGTAAGCCATGGCAAATTAAATTAAATTATTATTGAATAAAAAAACGGACAGCGACTCAGCGTAGTATATAAATATATACGTTAGTTCTAACTAGTTACCGTTGGTAGGAAGTATTTTCCCCGCATGATGAACCTGGTTTTTGTGGTGGTGGTTTGGGTATGAGTTTTCTGGAGATTCTCCCTTCGAATGGCCTGGGTGGGTCAAAGGTATTCTTTGATCTGGGATACTGAAATATATATTATCTTGAAATGAATACAATGAAATCACATATTATAACTTTAAATAGGATAAACTAAAGACTATGTCCAAGTTACTAATTCTTAAACTGTTCAAAATAATATTAATGCAATTTTAAAAACATTATAAATATTTGATACGATTATTTTAATCCCAATAATCCTAATCTACTTCTACTGAATATTCTTGACTACTGTACCAGGCAAGAATGGCAAAAAGACTCGTGCTTTATTAGTATTAAACTGTGTCTTCAGCTTATAACAACATGTATATTAAACTATTTTAAGTAGTCAAAATATGATGAGCGATATCTAAATGGTGACGAAGGTCGATAATATTTAGCCTCAGATTTTTAGGATACGAAGGCTACCTTCTTTTCATAACTATAAGCAGTAAATCAGTATGCTAAAATTACGTTATAAAAAACAAGAGAAACTTATTAAATGAACATTTTTTTTGTTTACCAAATTACTGTCGTCTACACCGTAAGTGCCGTAGACATTTAACTTGTTTTCCAAATTGTCAAGTGCCATTGGATTGGATGGTCCAATGCCCGTATGTTGTAAATCATACGTCGTTTGCCACTGGTCACGTTCTATATTTCTTAGCGCATTGGCAGTGTTGTTAGACAGTCTCATTTCCGGTCCACGATCCTGTAGATTCGGAACAACTGTTTTGGGTGGTATTGGATAGTACTGTTGTCGTCCTCCGTTGGCTTTCACCAGCTGAAAAGGCAACAATTTTTTTTTATTTCCCTCTACATCTTTTTACGGTGAAATAAGCAATAGCCTTTATACAGCCGTAAAATAAAGTAACAAATTGAGTTATCCGTGAAAAAAAAGAAAAACTAATACTTATTTTCTGAATTTTATTTGTCAATATATCATTAATGTATATGCTACCTAGAGCGATTTTTTAAAGCAAAAATTAAATTAGACTTCATTTACTTAATATTATGTTTGCTACCTGATGAAATCCTCTTTCTCCTTGCCATTCTAAACCCAATTTTTCAGATTCTTTTGGCTTTGCTTGAATTTCATGTCGAATACCGGAACCTGGAACAGACAGATCATTAGAATGTAACAAACGTCAAATTGGTTCAATTTTCTATTTCAAAATAATGCTTTCAGTATTGATATTTCATTCAAACTTGATCATTAAAACTGATACAAGCTGCTTTTGTTGTTTGATGTTTACAGTACTTTGTCAATGATATCCAATTATTGCATTTAAGCCAACAGTACTCTGAATGCAAATTTTGCTTTATTTCCCCACCTAACATAATGCCATGACATACAACTAAAACTGTCCATAATTTAAGTTATCGATTTTCATATTTTATCTCTATAATTAGGAGAAAAACAAACGGTAAACTCACCTTTCGTTTTACTTATTATCTGTACATCAAAGGCAGTGGCTGGCATTTCTGCGTTGATTGGTTGTTCGTATCTGGCTGCTACGCCCCTTTTAGGGTCTTCTGATGCATCAAATTTAGGAAAAGCAGAAAACCTCGGCATGTGAGAACTGTATGGATGTTCAGCTGGGAAATCTCTGTTTATCATTATGCGTCTACAAATCAAATGAAAGCTTATGGTTTGAACTTATGACATAATATAATATCGAAATGTTGCCTTCATGTTTAATTTTACATTGTACATGTAACAAGTTAAAACTTTACACAGCGATGATGATGATGGATATCTGTTGAACGTCCAGCGGCAAATAACATGCATATTAATGTTATATGAATATTAACCCTGCTTAGTACTAGACCGACACGCTGAGCCGGATGATTTTTAACGTGCTATTTCACAAGGTAACAAACAGTCCGCGAAGACATGTCACCTAACCCGGACACATTATTCGGACTCCGAGTCGACCAGTATTTGATCTTACTCTTTAACGCTGCGCGCTTAGCGGAGGACAGCAAATACCAGTTTTAAAGTCTTTGGTTTGAACCGGCCGTGTTCGAACCCACGATCTCCCGATGCGGTCTTTAACAATTACCAATAGGTATTGTTCATCACCAAATATAGGACAAGTGCGAATTGTTCTTCCCCTCTATTCCTTGAATGAACTTTTAAAGTTATTTTTTCACAGAAAAATGTGGTAGGTGAAGTGATCCTTAAATTAGAAATATTTGCAACAGGACGTTAAAGAAACAATTTATATTTGCGTAATGTACGTAGTAGAAACAGACAAAATGGGTATGTAAAGAAGACTTTAAACAAGTATATGCATGTCCACACCGTCAGCTGCTACACATTTCTTTGACAGGTTTGACATTGCAATGACCTACATTAAATTGTTCATACTTTGATGACAACAGTAAAAAATAATCAAGGAATGGTTACGAAATATTGGATCTATGACTGTCACAGAAACGAAAAACTATAATGTATTTTATCAAACTAAGATGTGGTATGATTTCCTATGGGACAACATTCCAACAGAGGTCAAAGGACGAGGATGTACGTATATATACACACTTTTGTGTTGTATTAAACAAAAGCAAAAAAGACTAGGGTCTGATGTCTAATCTGAATGAACATAGAACTTTTCTTGATTTTTTTCTCCAAATTGAATATCTTTTATTTTATATCACCTGGCATACACATACCGTTGAGCAGTCCTGTGCAGCTTCCATAGGGACCCCTGCCTTTATTACATATCCCTTTTGACAGGGAAACTACAAATTGGTGAGAGAAAAACTTCCTAAACTTTACTTTCTATATAGATACCTACATATATTTCCAATTAATATTCTAGACACCTTACCTCTTTTATTATCTTTAATTTAACATTTAATAAATATATAAAGGTGTTATAACAACAAAATAATTTAGATAAAGGTTAGAAGTTTCCATAATTTGTTCACTGATGAGAATTGAATCCACTTTCTTGACAGTTTTATTGGAAGAAAAATCCGCAAGGAAACGACCGAGCCTCAGCGAGTCAATCACAATCTACAACAAATATGTAAAACGAGATGTGTAGTATATAACGAGACAGAAACATAAAAACAAGATACAACCAAAAGAGGTTGCATGGTCAACATACGAAAACTTCTTCTTTTCAACTTCGCAGATGACCAAGGGAGATTTAGATCCCTACCATATGGGAGATCTGATATTGATCCGAAAGGTTAGCTTATCAAGGTCCCTGTAAAGTTGAGATCATGAAGTAAAATTTATTTTTATATAAAGATACATACCCCATCTGACTTTCCTGTGGCTTTTGCAACCTACAGATAATAAATTTCTTTATTAAAGAAATGTCTTTAATCATAATCATATTGAATACACATTTTGGGATTTTTTCGTATCACAGGAAGTCACTTTAATAAAAAAAATAAGTATTAAATTCTGCAAACTGTGTTACAAAATGTGCATCTATTAAAACTTTCAAACCTAATATTAAAACACATGTGGTGCAGTATGCCTGTACCAAGTCAGGAATATGACAGTTGTTTTCCATTAGTTTGATGTGCTTGAGCTTTTGATTTTGCCATTTGATAAGGACTTTCCGATTTGAATTTTCCTTGGATTTCGGTATTTTTTTTATTTTACTTTTTTTTATATAGAATTAACGGTTTATAAAACGGTTTTATTTGACAGTTGTTTTAAGTTGAAAGTTGTGTAAAAAATATACAAAAATATAATATGAAATATAACTGTATATTTTAGATTGATAATTGTATAGCACCATACTATTTACAACAGAACGTAACGAGACGTAGCGTGCAATATGATATTGCACTAGTGCAAATATAGCTTCAAATAATCGACGTCATCAGTGCAGAGACAAAAACATGTTCTAAACAGTTTTTAAAGCTTTATTATGCAATATAATAGTCATTGCATAAATATTGGTGAACATAATCCCTCGTTGAAAATATATTTGGCTCACAAGCTCGAGTAGTTTAAATATTCACTCTGTATATTCACCAATACAATAACCCTATGTTCCTATTTACATCTGACTTTTTGGATACTTACAACTGGTCATTGGTCCTAACATTGCTAAGTTTTAACTGTGTCAGTCCATAATGTTGCTTTATAGGTTCTCCACTGAAGAAAAACATAAAAATTATCTTTAAAACAGAACTGTATAGAATATAGCATATGTGTGAAGAACTAGTAAATCGAATCCTGCGTTCTAACAAAATATTACATGGCACTTTGTTCCCACAAGTCGGCGAACGAAAACAATTATGTGCCGATGTTCATTGTTTATACATTGCATATATTTCCGGTCTGGTTACTTGACAAACTATCTTAAACAAATATCAATCATCATTCCGCGATCTTTAATTTTACTTTAAATAGCACCCAAGACATCCGAGTCAAGGCAGTTCATATGGACCCCAGATGTCTAAATATCAACTTGAAGGGAAACAACAATCACGTATTCTGCATTTTAACACAACAGATAAAATTTAGAAAAGAATCAAAGATTCAAAAATTGCCAAGAGAAAAGACACAATATTCGGGTTTTTATACAAAATAAATTTCTTTCTGTACTTTTCCAAAATGTGTATAGCAACAGTTATCCTGTGCTCAAACGTACCAGTATATTGTAAACAAAGAACTTATTGCACATATGATTTATAATTACTATGGTATTAAATAAAGGGTGTTTTCGTAATGGTCCTGTTATATGACCAATGTCTGTAATAATAGCCTGAGCTCGCCTGAGACTTCGTCCAGGCGAGACAAAAAGTAAACATGAAATAAATGATTGGAGACATCAGAAGTGTACTGCCCCATAATTGGGACATAAAAATCAGATAACAAGATCGATTTAATATTTTTCATACTCGATGTGATTTATTGTTTTAGGCGTAACTAAATACATACCAAATAAATATTTAATCAGTTTAATAGATCGAAATTAGGATAAAATAAACAATTGATATAAACATAGGTCTATTCTCAGTCATATTTATTAGGTTACGCCACGATGTGTCAAACTTTATAACTTTATATCAAACTCGATAGCCTGTCTAACAGAAATATCAATGAAAAAACTTGCCTCGCTTATTTTGGCTAAAAGTAGCCGGTTATATTATCAAGGCCAATCACGGAATAAGACATGTTTGACTTTTCATTACATGAGTACCAGACGTTTTGTTTAGATCTAGATTCCAAAGTTTATGTTTTAATGTTAATCAAAAAGTTCACCGTTTGACTTTTTAGCAAAATCGTCGTTCAGCAGAAAAAGTTTTGAATATCATAGATAAAAGATGCATCTAATAGACAATAGAAAAAGCTTTAGTAGTATACAAATTAGATGCCGGATATAGAAATACACAAACATTAAACTGCTGTCGAAATCTGCATGACATCTCTGATAAAACTATTTTTGCAAAATGATACTTCTAGTCTTATAACATCAGCCTAAACTAGGATAGTCAGGGACTGATTCTGCTGCATATAGTGAACTAAAACCCTACGACAGTAATCCACGACATATGTTTCCCTTAGCAGTATACACCTTTGTTCATATATACAGTCATTTTTCTTGACTAAAATGGGTCGTGGAATAAATCCTCATTAGACTTGTCAATTTCACATGAAACGTGCATCAACCGATATCAAAACAAGAAAATTCTCTAACAAAGACAAACAACTTCAAGTTAAAGATAGTTCCTTAAATATAACATGATACCAATCATTTTCATAATATAAACACACTATACATCCTGAAAAGACGACAATCACTATGATCTCATTTCTATATGTCATATGTACAAGAACCTGAATGTTTTTGTACTTATTTGTACAAAATTCAAGACTATAAACTAATATTCGAGTAATAAGTTATTAATTGTGAGTGATATAAGGTATATCAGATAGTTATGTGTATATTGATACGAGACAGCAAACCAAACAACATAAGGTAGACCTCAAACCAGAACACTTGAAGATACCAACGTGAAAGTTAAGTTTAACGTTACATTTTCAAACACACTTGTTGAGTAATTCAATTTCCGACAAAACAAAACATGGGTGAATGCTTTTATTATTAATAATTGAAACAAAAGTTATTTAACATGACATTTAATATGACGAACATACACATGGTTCACCTGTGTTTGAAGAATTGAAATTATTTACATGGTAAAATGACGTTGCAAGACAGCAACCAGACTGAAAGGTTGTTTTTAATTATTGTAAAATCCAAATTTACTGCGGGGCATTTGATTTCATTGAGTCTTAAATTGTGGGTGAACGCCGTTATTAAACGATTTAATGTTTAGCTTTCGAGTCAACAATCTGTTAATCTGGTAATGTTACCATTGTCTACAGAACCACTTTTCATCCAGTAATCCGAATGAGTCATATCGCACAGAGCCCTGTAATTCTAAATGTTCGATTTGTCGCAGAAATCAACTGTCTTACAGAAAAAATAAATTATCCTGCATGTATATATGAGGACTCAGCATACCGTGACTTGGTTAAAACAAATCTATTAAATATTCTCAATCTCAGATAATATCTAGGGGATCTAGATAATGAAATAACTTTTTGTTCGTGCTTTTGACACCACAAAAATGCCAGATTTCATTTTGTTTTACACATTGAACAGCAGAGATTTATATCCCCAGTTATATTTTTTTTCTGAGAGTAAGAGCCGACAGTCAGCGACGACAGGGAAAGAACAACTTGTGCGACAATCAACGCTAGAAAGTTATTTGTGTGAATAAAAATAGATTACAGTGAACATCCATTATCAGTAGATCTTGAAATCTGAGAAATACATATGTACAGCTTCATTTGAATAGGTCTTTGTCCGTATGGGAAAGGGGAATCCTATAACCACAAAATAATGAACAAGCCAAACTGCTTGGTTCCCTTTTAATACAGTCACTAGGTCTGAGGACAGGAGGCAGTTAAGTTTAATCAGTACCAAATGTCATTGTTGTCTATGTAGACGTACATGTATTTAATGTGAGTGTTACATTTTTTTGTTGTTATCTGGATATGCCATTGATCCTTTATTGGGCGTGATATTGAAAAGAATTAGTGAAAGGTAGATTGGTGCAGCTTTTAGAATAATAAGTATACGGCAAAATTTAATGTCGACTAAACTAAGTTAGTGTTTGCTTGAAATGTTCTTGATATACCATGGTTTGTCTCCAACCTGGGACTATTATTCTAACGTTAATATTTTATGTCCCAGCTCCAACATTAAGGCATTCTTTGGAATATATGTCTTTCAGATCTGTTTTCAACACTTAAAATCAATGAAGTATCAGATTTCGATCGTTGTCTATTATCAGTGTAAAACCTTATGTTATCTTTCTTTAGTATCTCAACAAACAAATAAACAAATTAATTTAAGATTTAAACTATATATCTTAAAACACGATCTTTAACTTGGTTGATCAGACATAAATAAAGATGGAGGAAAAATCGAAACGTGTTTAACTTACGAATATTGCCATGTTGGTGGTCCCGGGATGTAGACATTCACATCCTCTTTGAACTTTCCCGAGCCCCATTCTTTCGGGACTACAGGGTCGTGTTCTTGAGCCCTAAAAAGCTCCAAGGATGTCATTATCCACAACTGAAATTTACACCCTTCAGTGAAACATACAGTATCCCTTTAGATCGCGTCTCGTTGCTAGGCTTATTGTTATGCTAATTAAATATTTAACACAGGTTGTATTTTAAATACCGAAAGCTTCCGAAGTATTAATACATATATCAAGTGTATTTAATAAGTTTAAATGATCGATATTTGAACAATACCTACGGTGATTTAAACCGAAACAATCCACTAGAAGCTCATATAAGTCTAAAATATCGTTCCTTATTCTACATGTTGGTCGATCTGTCAAAATGTTATTTTTAAAAAAGATTTTTGCATTGTTACACATATATTTTAATTACATGAGTCGTCAATATTTAGGCCGCTAAATTGAACCTTAGTTAAATACTTATAGTTAAATAAAAACATGTTTTTTTTTAATTGTGTTGCAGGTTTTCTATTATATGAGAGTTTTATTTGACCTTTTACTGTTTTAAGTTTGGTTTTTCAGTTTTGAGGGTTGAACAATACGCATATGGAATGCAAATAAAAATACACCATTTCTCATAATTAACAATGATCATTTTCATCATCCAATATAGTAAATTATATATGTATATATATTTTTTTTATATAATTTTTTTTTATATGCATTTAATATACTGTTCTCCTGTTGGAGTTACTAGACTGTTTACTGTTTTATATATATGCTTATGTTTTTTACAATTAAGATTTGGAAGATCTGTCTCCCCCGTCTCTACATAATTCACGGTCATGTGTAGGGCGACATTACGAAAGGGGAGGTAGAATATATCTGACCTGAATATATGCTGCAAAATAACAAATATTTCTTTCCAGACATACACATTCGACCGAAGTGAAAAGGATTATACAGTTGGCAAATACTAGTCGTGTAGATATTCAAACAAACAATTAGACCAAGTCGGCGACGGTTTGCACTTAATGTAAAAAACGCGACGAATTATAAGTTACATCTTTAAGTACTTCAGTTGGTTTCAAGTGTGTCCGTCAATGTTATTTTATTCACTTTCAAATTAAATAAGAATCCATTTATAACGTTTTATAACATATATTTTAACCATAAGCTTTCTTATTGTAAAATTATTTCTATTCATTATGTAAGAATTACTTTAAACAACCATGTCTTCAAATCCGTCATCCGTTATCTTCTTTTGTTAATCCTGTAAGTGCTTATTTTAAGATTGCTCAATAGTCATTTTATAACCCCATTTCTATCATGAAATTGTAACCAAATAAATTCGTAATTTAAGTATGTTTTCTGAAGTTTTTACTTCGGTGAGAGTCAGGCAGTCCAAATGACAACTTCCGCCATAATTTGTAAAATTACATGTATTTCATCCTGGATCATTAAATTGTTAACTCCTGTATAGGACTTGTGTCTAAATCTACCAGTGGGGTTAAAGGGAGTGTTCTCATGCAAGTGACTACAGGTCTAAGTCATTGTCTTTGGTTGGCATCGTCAATTTCTGAAACCAGTCGTGTTGCATCTCGTTATCATCGTCATTCCAGTGACCAGTCTCCCGGTTACACAAGATTCATGCAAGATTCAAATGCTTTATTTACCTCAGACACATGAGTGTTCAAGAGGACTAACATATACTAAAAACATATGATATAGTGATAATGAGAAGACACATATATATGAATAATATAAAATAGACAAATAAGACAATAAAAATAATAAAACACAAACACAAAACAATAGAATTCACATATCATAGAATTATATCTCATAAAAGTGCAATTTAATTCTTAAGGGAATATAGAAATTTTCTTGTACAATTGTACATGACATAATGATAAAATTCCTTTTGTTGTTACTGTATTTGGGTTATTAGTGTAATATTTTGGTAAACATTTTCTCTGAAGCATTTATATCTGAATATGCACACAAGTAAACAAATAATGATATTCATCTCCTACGCCAGAATTACACATATGTTCAATACCAGACAATCTTCCGATTTCTATTGGAACACCGTAGCTTTGTTATATATAATCTGTCTAGAGTGGGGTGCTCATTTTCGCCATAATTTTCTATGTTTTCTGCAGTTAATGTTCAGACCTTTAAGTTTTTGAAGTATACTGATATTTCTATATGAAGTTAACATCAAAAGCAAAAAATTCTTAGCTTCAAAACGTGTTTCTCTGAAAAAATTCATCTGAAAAGTTAGATTAAAGGCTATTTAAAATTTCCTGATGTTTTTGTCATAGGGGGACACATATTCGCCGTTTTTACACATCTATTTAACACCAAATAACTGCAGCTTTAAACAATATTTATCAAATCAATTTCATTATAGATGAATAGCAGATATGTCAAAGGTGTAAAGAACTGAAATTTAGGGCAATCAGTCAAAAAATTACTAAGAAATACTTCTTTGAAATCTTTTCTTCATTCAGGAAATTGGCCGAAAATCGTTGTCCGTTTTTCGGTCCTTTGCGGTAAATGCCGAAATTTTTTCTAAATAATAATATTTGTTATAAAAATATAATTTACCGGCATATTTCTTCCATTTCAGCAATCCTTTGAAGTTTCTACGCCTCAAAATCATAAAACGGCGAAATTGTGTCCCCGGCGAATATGTGCGCCCCACTCTATATAATTTATTTTCAACAGATAACTTTCAATTTCAAATTAATTTTTGAATATAAAAGATGATGCGTCTGTTTGCGAAAACCAACTTTGTAGATACGATCCTGGTAAACTTATCAATCCTTTAAACAAATTTATTCTAAAAGGTTACCTATTCAACACTGTAATTAAATCTTTGAATATTGTTTTATTGGTATAAATATTTATTTTGTTATCAGTAAATTAAAACCATACTAAATGTTACACATATTTACTTTCACGGTACTACAATCTGTCGATACCTATAGTTTGGCTTTGCAGTAGGTAATGTTTTTCTCTGACTGTTTATGACGTCTTTACACTATGGATTGGATGTGTACTGATTGATATTTTAGTCTTAGAAACATGATTTTTTTTATCAGTTGTCTGCTTTGAACTTGCTGTCAGTAACTGCAAGTACTCTCAGATCTGTACTTAGTGTCTTTTTTGTTGTGGGGATGTATAAGTACCCGTCCACGTCCACTCTGTGTTTTTGTTAGATGTACTATTTCTATTTGTATCCATCTGATGAGTTAAGCCTTTTTCAACTGATTTTTATAGTTTGTTCTAATGTTGTACTGTTACACCACTTTCCCAGGTTAGGGGAGGGTTGAGCGCTCACAAACATGTTTAACCCCGCTACATGTGCCTGTCCCAAGTCAGGAGCCTGTAGTTCAGTGGTTGTCGTTGGTTCATGTCTGTCATATTTGTTTTTCGTAATTGTTTTGTTATAAATTAGGCCGTTAGTTTTCTAAATTGAATTGTTTCATATTTTTCATGTCGGGGCCTTTTATAGCCGACCATACGGTATGGGTTTTTCTCATTGTTGAAGGCCGTACGGTTGCCTATAATTGCTTACATCCATTTCATTTGAACTTTGGTGGATAGTTGTCTCATTGGAAATCATACCACATCACCTAATTTTTATATTGAGTAGTATAATATATTAATCGGTTAACCTTTGTTTCATGATACATTTTAACCATAGCCTTTTGACACGTACTTTATTATTCCACATACAACTCAGTCCAGTCATCAAAAACTGAATTTATATAAACAACCCATTTAAATTTTGAACTAGTGTTGCAGTGCAAATTAAACATCAGTTTATCTAAATACTTGACACATATGTCTCTGTTTATTTGAACATCTAAGCAAATCATTACAAACAATACCTTGCGCATTTTCACACAAAATTCTAAAGGTAGTCTTCCTAGCTCTCTGTATACCATACAATAAGTCAAATTTCGATCTTACAAAATTGTAAGTGCATGCATCTTTCCTATATTGTGTTTTGTTTTAAAACCCTGAACTTCACTTGAGTAAAATAAATTAGCAGAATCAAACAGTTTCAGTTGTTTTCAATGTGAACATAGTTAATGATGAAGAAGACATTAATTTATTTCAGTATATTGTGACAGAAATTAGAGCTAAGCATCTAATATGGACATATAGTTTAGTCTACATTATACATTAAACGTGTATTACGAATCAAAGGCCCTTGTCTAGCAAGACTATTTAAAATTGTTTTTAATTCTTGCAACAATCATATCTTTTCGCTGGTCAGATAGCCTATCTTAATTGAAAAGAAAATGTGATTCATCTTCGATCTCATTACTGCAACATCTTTAACATACTATATTGTGTCGAGGAAGGAGTGTTATTATATAAGTAAATAGTGAGCAGATATGCGAAACCTTGTTGGACTGTTTTTTTTCCATTTTTTTGTAATAATACCAAGATATTTTTCGCAACCAAAACTAGACATAAAAGAAGCATATGTACTTTTCTTCTGAATTGTTATTGAGCTAATTTTCCCCGTCTTTCAACTACTGAGACGTCATAAACCACTTCAATTTTCTTTTCTTTTTACAAACCACTTGACTTCAACAGTTATAACGACATAACTTTTAAAATTACTTAACCAATGCACATGTCAAAGACCACACTCCTAGTTAAGTGTTTTAGGAGAAAGACATTAAATAAAGAACAAAACTTACTAAAACAAAATGGACAATAAACTTTAATGTTGTAATTTAGTATAAAAGAAAACCCTAAAATGAAAAATAATAAACTAAACAATAAACTTTACAATCGAGTGTAATTAATTTTAATAGATGCAAACCAAAAAACATCGAAGTGGTAAACATTGAAACAAAATTGATTTGTTTTTACACAGAAATTTTATATCAGCATGTATTACACCAGTTTGATGGGATAATAAGAAAGTTAGGCCATTTTGTATTTCACATTTTTACAAGGACTCTCATGACCATCTGTTAGTGTGTTTTGTTTTATTTTACCGATGTCTTGCGGTTTGATATTTCTACAGGAATTATGTTTTCTTCTGACAGATGTGCTTGATCTCCAATCTGATCGGATAGATGGGTGTTTTTAAAGTATAGCATACAAACTTCCAACCAATTTCAAGAGTCTTTTTCTGTGTGTTGAAG